GTTAACAATCTTTTTATAGAATCTAATTTTAATGTTCGAACATGGTTTATGCATGCTGTAGGGTAGTAGTTCTTTTAACAGATTTTTTAAACCCATCGCACTTGACTATTTAACATTAAATTATACAATATATTATATTATGCTTTCATGTAAATTAGTTGAATCTGATTCGTCGAGAAACATTTGTTAAACAACAACTATACCCAATGAATAACGAAGCCACACCCTCCAGAATAACAACAGTCGACATTGCTTGACGATGGGTAATATTCCAAAAAAAAACATTGACTGCGCAGAATTTATGCGCGCAAGGTTCACTGTTATATAAATTTGTATAAAAGTATAATATAATAAATACTGCATGTAGTTGAGAGTAACGTTGAACATTTTCACCATCAAAAAACATATCAAATCGAGGCGCAGCAATGTTGACTGTTGCTACACTGGAGGGCGTGGTTTTATCATTCAATGGATATGTTTTCTCGACGAATAAGATTCAAGCATTTTAAATGAAAGTATGACATATATTCTACACAAGAACCGCATAACTTTTTCTTTGCTGTTCCTGGTGATTTTTTTCCTTAAATCTTCACTGTATATGCGAATAATGCTGGTTACACAAACATCAAATTTTGCTTTTAATTATAGGGTAAAATTGGACGGAAATTACTGACAATTACTGGCTAATTATTCACAACTATACATTAACTTTCATCCAATTTTACCCTATACTTAGAAGCAAATTTTTTTAAACTAAGGGTAGTAAAATTGATAGATTAGAATGGACCTTCACTTAAAATCTGAAATCCATGACTTTTTCTCCAGATTGTCAGACTCTAGGATAGCCCTTTTAATCTGTCATATAATACTGTTTATATAACCTCTATTCTGTTTTACATCTAAGGACAGATCACTATGATATTGAAGCACTCCTCGGAGTGCGGTATTAAGAGCATTTAAAGCATACAAGTTATCGTCTTTCTTCATTGTTCTTATAATGAATTTCTGTTTTACATACACTGTACCTATATAAGTTACAAAACGAAAGTTACGCGTTTATTCGTGAAAGTTTCGTGTTATATCGCGAAATTTAAAGGTTTATTCGCGAAAGTTACGCGTTTATTTACGAAAGTTGTACGCGTTTATTCACGTAAGTTTCGCGTCATTATAACGTTAAAGTTTCGAGATTTATCTCAAAATTATTTAGCTATTCCTTCATGTAAGAATTCCCGAAAGATTACTTTTAGTTTATAGCAAACTACCAGTACTAAGAAATACCTAACAACCCTTCTAAAAAAAATCTTGGGTAAGATGTTTTTAAAAACTTATCTAACAGTAGAAGCATGATATTTGTCTAGCACAGTGCTTCTGGTAAAGTCAGCGGCATTGAACGGCATTTGTCCAAACACAGAGCTTCTAGTAAAGTCAGCGGTATTGAGCGGCATTTGTCCAAGAGAGAGCTTCTGGTGAAGTCAGCGACATTGAGGGGCTTCTGGTAAAGTCAGCGGCATTAAGCAGCATTTGTCCAACACAGAGCTTCTGGTAAAGTCAGCGGCATTGAGCGCATTCGTCCAAACGCAGAACGTCTGGTAAAGTCAGCGGCAGTGGGTGGCATTTGTCCAATAAAGAGCATCTGTTAAAGTCAGAAGCATTGAGCGGCATTCGTCCAACTACAGAGCTTCTGGTAAACTAAAAGTCAGCGGCATTGAGCAACATTTGTCCAACTCAGAGCTTCTGGTAAAGTCAGCGGCATTGAGCAGCATTTTTCCAACGCAGAGCTTCTGGCAAAGTCAGCGGCATTGAGCGGCATTCGTCCAAACACAGAGCTTCTGGCAAAGTTAGCGGCATTGAGCGGCAATTGTCCAAAAGAGAGCTTCTTCGTGAGGTTAACGCATATAGAGAATAAGAAGTACTCTACATATGGTTAACTTATATTGAATAAGCAGCATTCTTTATGCTGTTAACATAGAAGGACTAAGGGTTATTCTTCATGAGGAAAACTTATAAGGAATAGGCAGCATTGAACTTCATGTGGTTGACAAAGGTATGTTATTCTTCATGTAGCTTCGCGGATTATAAAGCGTAAACTGACCCAAACCAGGTTATACTCGAATAATTTGGCCAAGAATTAGAGTCATTCCTAAAATAAATTGCACAGTCGCAGCGATATTAACAATCGTTGAATAAATTGATACGATAATTATGGTGATCATATTTATAGAAGAAATTCAAATTAATCAATATTCAATTTATTTAAAATAATTATTGAAAGAATAAAGTGACAATCAAATTGCGAACGATTATGCTTCATTGTAATATTAGATGTATACTGGTGATACTGTATACTAGTGAAATTTAACTCTATTCAAAATTTCCGTTACGTGCAACTGTTGAGATACCAAATGTAACTGCCTATATTAGGAAAGTAAATTATTTGTAATTCGTGAGTTTCATAATTACAATTACCTGATATAACACACTCTATGTACTTGCTATTCATTTATGAAATATGAAGATAACGAACAGTATTCAATCTCGAAAATTCAATGAAACGATACATATTTGGAGCAGAGCAAACCTCAAAATTCATAGGTGGGATCAGGTGCCATGGAAGAGTGAGCATCTCCTGCCGACCGTTAATTGACAAAGGGCAGAGTAACCTTTTAGAAACTATTTCAACGATTGTCCTTTCAAATGATTATGACAGAACACTTACAGAAAAAAGACAAAATTGCCCTACAATATACCATGAATGACCATTGTCCTTGAAGAAATAGAAAAATGCCAAGATCATTTTTAAAGATATTATAACTTAAGTTTTACAGAGGTTCCTATGTATGAATTACAGAAAACGGTTGATCATATGTAGTTTTTGCAATGTGTATGGATTTATTGAAGTAGATGAAATAAATTGATTAGCGTGTTCAAGAATTTTAGAACATTTTTTTATAATAATACACTTTATAGTAATTTTCTATTGTCTCACAACATTCATCATAATCATGAACGTGTGTAACTGTTTTCCCTGGAGGTGTTGTCAATTCAGTGAATCAAATTATATGAGAAAAATACAGTAAAACCATCAATGTTTGAATTATTAATTTTTGATATATAAGATTGAAAGATTCTTAGAGCTCTCTGACTAGCAGAGATTGAACACTGTTAAAAAAAATCATACTAAGTTATATTCACTTGCACGATACCTTCCAGGAGATCATTTTTTTCTACATTGGACCAAAAAAAAGTCAAAAAAAACATCCAAATTGATACATTATTAAAGTTATTTCATCTGCAAACGACATTCATGTGAACATACTATTTTTTTACAACGAACCAAAGTTGGATCAAGATATTCCAAATTACAATGGATTACGTTTCACTGCGTTCGTCTAGGACTTCAACAAATGTAAACAATCTAGAAAGCTTTAAGATGGCAAAGTTTGCTAATGATTTTGTATCATTTAATCATCAAATCATATAAAACATATATAAATATATTGTTGGCTTTTTTTCAGTCTTTACAATGAGGAAACAACCATTGAAGTATAATATTCACCTCTCCCTTGGTGAATATTGTACTCCTCGAGTAGCTAAATCATCGTATTGACCTCAAAAACAGGAATAATAATCATATCATATTAAAGTAATATGACATTAAATTATATAACTATAATATGAACATATATGTTAAATATAATGTTAGTAAAGGTGAAATAACGAACAGTGTTCAATGTCAAAAATCCAAAAAATGTACGAAATTAAAAGCAGAGCAAGCACAGGTGGGATTATGTGCCACTGAGGAGAAAGCAACTCCTGTCGACCCGTCACACCCGCTGTGATCCCTTTGTCTTGATCGGGTAAATGGAGTAATCTGTAGACAAATCGCTATGAAATAATGGCGTAATAATTTGTATGAAAGGATGTAGGATATATTAGAAAAAAGGTCACAATAACCACTACAGAATTTGCAAAGTGTTGACTTTAAATGCGACTGTTGATACCCCTGAAACATCCACTTATTTTTTTAGCAACCTACCTATATTTAGAAAATGAACACAGAACTTGCTATCGTGTATCGAAACAACTGAGAGACATAACCACCATTTGCAGGTGGGTATGGTATATTGCTATATACATAGATAAGGGAATTTGACAATAAAAAAAAAGTTGAAGTCATCACGTTTACCATTTAAGTTTAGTTGATAATATGCCATTACTGTCTATCTCTAGTAAAATATCCAAATATGAAGCAGATGCATAAGACTTTGTTGTGTCTTTTATTTCTAATTCAGTGGGATATATCAAATGAGTAAAAATGAATATTGCAAAGTGTTGACTTTAAATGCGACTGTTGATACCCCTGAAACATCCACTTATTTTTTTAGCAACCTACCTATATTTAGAAAATGAACACAGAACTTGCTATCGTGTATCGAAACAACTGAGAGACATAACCACCATTTGCAGGTGGGTATGGTATATTGCTATATACATAGATAAGGGAATTTGACAATAAAAAAAAAGTTGAAGTCATCACGTTTACCATTTAAGTTTAGTTGATAATATGCCATTACTGTCTATCTCTAGTAAAATATCCAAATATGAAGCAGATGCATAAGACTTTGTTGTGTCTTTTATTTCTAATTCAGTGGGATATATCAAATGAGTAAAAATGAATATTGCTTATTGATAAACGTCATAGTTAAATTGAACACTATAGCAAGACGCTTTTTCTTTAGGTTTAGAATAAATGCTTCATATTAGAATACAAAAACAATTTAGCTAATGGTGGGGAACAAACCAGGGGTAATTCCAAAGGTTGCTGGAAGAGACCTGGCACATAATATCAGAGCCCCCCCCCCCCTTTTAATCTTTTACTGTTATTTTAGTATGAAAATGTTAATTCAGAGGTCAGTTGCCCCCATCTCCACCCCTTCTTTTTGATACAGTATAGTCAAATCCTCCTCCGGATTGTAAATGATCAATCACAAGATGAAAACTTCCAAGTTCCATTTTTATTGAAGAAACAGTTGTCTAATGTACTAGTAGTTTGCTTCACTGTGAAATATTGTCATCATATAGACTAGTAGTTTGCTTCGCTAAAGATGAAGTACTTACAACTCTTGGTATTTGATTTGGCTGAATTTTACTAAACTTTAAGATAATAAACTTTCATGTCTAACATTTATTTAAATGAAAGCATAAACATATTTGAAAAATACAAATTATTACACAAATACACAAAAATTTAGGTCTGGTGCTGCCACATTGCACAATATTTTATGTGGCTTAAATTTATACTTTTCTTTAAACAATATCCAATTACGAAATGCAATCTAATCACCTCCCACAATTTTGGACAACCAGCTGTTCCTGGATGGATGTACATTGATGAGTGATGCAGAAAACACTGCAAACTTTATATTCACAACATCATTGAATTGTCATGTATATTGTGTAAAACCTTTTTCTGAAAATCTTTAAAAACTTGTTTATACATGTTTCAGCAAATGTAAAATCTTCTTTTGTACAATTTTAATTTAAAATATGTATTCCAGCATATATAAACAATAAATCTCTGTTTTCATGCAGTTAATATCATCAACTGTAAAGTTTAACAACGCCACTCTGATTGGGTTTAAAACAAATTTTAGGGAAATCATATTATGCTTGAAAAATAAAATCCAAGTTCCTTTATATTTTGTTTTTGTAAATAAATATTTCATATTAATATTACCAAAGTATGAGACAAGACATGTATTCCTGAATTTCTTAAAAATTCTGAATGTCCTAAGTGAAGTATACCAGTAATTGCACATAAAGACCATTAAATGCAGTAAGTTTGACTGGAATGCTTGTGTTAAAATCTTCACCGATTCTTTATGCGTGTATGTGTGTGTGTGCCTGTGTATACAATGTCCTTGGTTTTTGTCAATGCTCTCCCATATTATTCCCGTGTCTTGTCCACCTCCACACATATCACAGATTTTGTAAAATATTTCCACATGGCACCATCTTCAATCCAGTAGTTTTTTCCTTGAAAATCAAAGGAATGAAGTTTATTTCTCAAAACCTAAAACTGATACTAGGAGTGTAAGATTAATTAATATACATGTATATCTAATTGTCATCTATTCTTTATCAATTTAACTTTCACTCCTATACAAAATAGATTTGATACATCTACAATAAATTGCAAAATACTTTTATCTACATATGTTATAACAGTTAATAACAAATACACCTGCATACTGTGAATGTTTAATTGCCATCTATCTTTAATTAATTTAACTTTCACACATATACAAAATAGATTTGATACATCTACAACGTAATTTCAAAAACTTGTATCTATGTTTGTTATAACAGTTAATAAAAAATACACCTACAGAATATAGAATATTTATTCAACCAATTTGGGCCCACAGTGGAGCATAAAGATGAACAATGTCCGAAATCATAGTCATAAATAACAATAAACAGAACAAAACAAACAATTGTACATTGAACAGAGAGTTAGCTGTCAACTTTTAGGATGCATAAGATGTATACAAATAGTATATGTATAATGACAGTATTAATATGCCTATATTGTACTATGTTGTTTTCTCATATTAAAATTTTCATTTAAATGCTAGCTGGCATAATAAAACAACAAACTCAGAATCTTCATTTGACATAATCCATGTAAACAGGTCCACTTTGTTAAGAACTGTTCAAAACTGCTTATGTTACAGTAACGAAAACTAGAGGCACTGTGAACATTGAGCTCACAAAATGATAACCCCCCCCCCTCCCACCTACATACTGTGAAAGTTTCATTGTTATCTATCTTGCTTCAAATCCTTCCTAATTATCACATTCATTAGTACTTACTGATGGCATAAGAGAATATAATGAGATAAATTTTTACAAAGGATTTAAAAGTTTTCAGCTACAAAAAAGCATTGAACTCTCATTAGTTTTTGCATGTTGCTTTTAAATTTATCTACTAATTAAAAATTCAGCCTTTAATAATTTGATCCAAAAAGTCTTTTAGGAAACCTACATAAAACGATCCTATCATGAAAAATTGAAGATTGATTTTACTCACTCCTCGCCCTTCTCAGAATTAATGGCTGCCAGTTTCCTCCTCTCCTTTGCTGAGAGATTAAGCTTTCCACCTGTGAAATAATTTTTTTTTTTTAAACTGGTTAAAATAAATTGATATATACAGATATACACCATGAAAAATACAATTTTTTACATATTCCCTAATTTTCTGTTTTAACATATTACATTTTAATGCTTACTTTTTAAAGAAAATTGTAGAATTATAAATAATGCAAATTAAACAAATGTGAATTAAATTGTGTTCACACCACAGTTAATGCGAAGTAAAATAATGTATTAAAATTTTATTTCTACAGTAAGGCTATTATGATGTCATTTGCACATCACCTTATGCAGAGCAGATAGATTTGAAATAATGTCATAGTTGTCTGTACACATTTTTAGAGAAAAACTAAATTTTCCTTTGTTTTTCACTCAAAAATAGCATAAGTACTTACGTTTGACCACTGACATGTGGCATGTGGCTTAATTTTGCTATTAAGCATGCATCAAAATATAATTTGAATTAACTTCACTTAGCTGTTCACATGGAGTTAATGCAATTTGATGTGCAGCAAATTAATTCAAATTAAACTAATGCGCATAAAATTATCCATGGAAACACGGCTTAAATTTAATTCACGGTAACTTGCAACGTATTCGAATTAAACTTTCTGTGAGAACAGAGCATAAAATAACTAAAATAAAGGTAAACATAGAATTTATCAATTTATTATCAACAAAATTTATGCCAACATTTTACACCCAAATGATTCATGGATATCAAATTTGTTTGTGATGGCAAATTCCTACTTTGTTAAGAACTGTTCAAAACTGCTTATGCTGCAGTAATGAAAACTAGAGGCACTGTGAACATTGAGCTCACAAAATGATACCCCCCCCCTCCCACATGGCAAAGTCCATGTTTAGCTATGAGAAAGCCCAAATATCTATCAAAATGTAAAATAAGAAGTGTATAATTGCACACTATATAATAAAAATCCTGTTAAAGTTTCATTAAATTTTATTCAGTGGTATAGAAGGAGTTGCAGATAAGAGATGGGTACCCCCATATAATAGAAAGAATGGCAGTGCCTATGTTTGTTTTGGGAAACCCAAAAAATGTGTCCAATCAAAATACACAATAAGATGTGCACAATGACACTATGTAATTAAATTGATCATTAACTTTTATTCAGTGGTATAGGAGGAGTTGCGGATAAGAGATGGATATCCCCAAGCGTAATGGACAGACAGACAGATGTACAGACACCCCCATCACTATATTCCCCAACTTTTCAAGCTGAAGGTATAATTATAAACATATGATAATGTTATCAGTATCCGTACAGTTAGAACAACCTTAATAATTATGCATATGTGCTATCACAACCATAAACTTTTAGTCACTTGCTGAGGTACACAAAAACTCCAACATCCTCTGTATCACATGGTTAGACAGACTTGATTTTTACCTTTAGAGGCATCCACTAGATAAAGCAACACAGCAGCTATAAGGGCCACTGAAAAAAAATTATCAAGGAATTATTTAATTTGTTATCAATTGAACCATATTTGTTTGTAAATACATGCATATCACTTTCCAAAGGTTGAATGGTAAATCCCTACTGTTATTTCAAATTTCAAGAAATTGTTTCCAAATAGCCATCTGTAAATCTTAGAACAGAGATTTTAAAATATCTTATTCCATGAAGATAGGCAGATGAACAGAAAAACAAAAGAGCATAAATCACATTTTTTATGCTTAAGCATAGATATTTATCTTACTAATAACAATAAGAAGAAATTTCTCATGATAAAGAAGAATATTGTACTATTGTCTTTATATGAAAATAAGTCAAAGTTTAAGTAATTCATAGAAATCATAGAAACATACCGCAGAGACATGCCAAGAAAAACACTTCCAGGATCAGATAGCCTTTTGAATCAACAATAGCACCAGCTACTATAGCTATCACAGCTAAACCCAAGTTCTGTATAGCCTGCATGCTACAAAACAATCAAAATCAGCAAGATACAATATAGCTATCACAGAGAACTATAATAGCTATCATAGAGAGCTCTAACTGCAATCACATGTACAGTGAGCTATAAAAGCAATCAGATCAAGATTTAATTGCTATCAAAGTGAGCTAAAGTAGTTATCACGGTGACCTTCAATAGCTATCATAGCATGCTGCAACAGATATTACATTGAACTATAATAGTTATCAAAGCAAGCTACAATAGTTATCAAAGCAAGCTACAATAGCTATCACTGCAATCTACAGTAGCTTTCACAGGTAATTAAATGATTAAATAGGTGCTTTATCGAGCTACTGAGAAAACAGGCTGTGACTCTCATCATTGAATCTATTACTTGTCTTTTAATTCCAAGCTCATTTTGAATGACAAGTTTTGTTTTTTTTTTATTCTGACAGATGAATCTAAGGGAACAGAATACAGAATATTGGCTGATCTCAACAAATTTAAATTGACAAATGTTCTAGCATGTCACATTACAGACAGAAGTTAAATCAAGGATTAACTGTGTTCTACTGATACAGGTATTTTACCTACATGCCATAAGCTGTTCCTAGTTGTGTTGATTTTACAATCTGTGCTGTGATCGGCCATAGGGCACTGGCAAGAATGGAATAGGCTAAGCCCATACATGACTACAATGTCCAAAACATCATTAAATAACAGGAATATTATCATCAGTCAGACTGTCTATAATCAGTATGTGTTCCATATGACACTGGCAAATGGACTGTAGACTTTCCTAAACTTGTAGTTGACTTGAACACATCATTTATATTAAACTTTATCATTTCATTAATGAATACATATTATTTTCTCTCTTACATAGAAGGAAGACAAACTGAACATGAAATTTGTCTTCAAGATCTGATTTGACAGCTAATAGCCAGGTTTAATATTGATAAGTTTTAGTTTACAATAATTCAATAATTACTTACCATGGCAACATAAGGATTAAGGAAAGTGAAAGCTAAAAGGGCGTGACATCCTATAGTACACACAGTCCCCAAAATAACCCAGAAAATATTCTTCCCACTACGGTCAATCAGGAAACCAAAGACAGGGGAGGCAACTGCTGATATAATGTACACCAAACTGAAATATGACAACATATTCAAAGACATAATAAACTCAAGAAATATTATTTTCATATGATTTTGAAGAGAGTTGAAAATTTCATTGTAAAATTGTTGAATATTTATTTATTCCATTAACTTTGATGCATTCCTCAAGCTACCACAAACACCCCTGTGCTTGTAATAATGGTATATAGTGCATATATATGAACAATTGATAAAAAGTTTTGACAATCTTTCCCTTTGCATATGTATACCTGTTGACATTGTTTGCTAAACTTGGATCAAAGCCCCACTTCATCTCAAAGAACACCCTGAAAAGAAAAAAACAAATTAACTATATTATAACACTAAGCAATTAATACAGTATTTCAATAAACAAATAAATTACATATTCAGCTGAATTACGTCAGTAACCATCCCTTTTTATGTAACGTTTTAACAGTCACTGACCAAGAGAACTCAGTTAGGTTGCATACCACTCATTCCACCAAGTTAAAAAAACATAGGTAATCAAAGATTACGAAGCTCACCTCGACGAATGTTATCTACATGTAAGGCAAATTTCACATCATATTTTTTTTTCTAGTTAGGGTACATCCCAAGATCAATATCCATGCAAGTTTGATTTAATTATAGATCTGCTCAAAAAACTTTTGACCTGTTTAGTAATCAAGAAAATTTTGGTCAGTTCCAACATCCAAAGCAAGTCTGGAAGTTTTCATCCTTAGATGCACCATCTATGCAAGTTTAATCATAACAGGCCATAATATTATATAGCTACTCCAAAAAATTACCCTGGTCACTCATCTGGAAAATGTACGTCAGATTCAGAATCCAAGGCAAGTCTGGAAGTATCTATCCCTAGATACATCATCCATGCTAATTTGGTTAAAATATGGCTAAAATTCACTCATGTGGAAAATCTAGGTCAGATCCAGCATTCGAAGCAGGTTGGTTAGTGTACATCCCTAGATGCATCATCCATGCAAGTTTGGTCCAGGAAGGGCTTATAGTTACTTGGGAACGAGACTACTCCTAAATCTAAACCTGGTCTCACATGTGGAAAATCTAGGTCAGATCCAGCTTCCGAAGCAAGTGTGGTAGTGTCCATCCCTGGATGCATCATCCATGCAAGTTTGGTCCAGGTAGGGCTTACAGTTACTTGGGAATGGACCTGCTCCTAAAACTTTAACCTGGTACACATCTGGAAAATCTACATCAGATCCAGCATCCGAACTAAGTGTGGCCATGTCCATCCCTAGATGCATCATCCATGCAAGTTTGGTCCAGGTAGGGCTTATAGTTACTTGGGAATGGACCTGCTCCTAAAACTTTAACCTGGTCACTCATCCGGAAAATCTAGGTCAGATCCAGCATCCTAAGCAAGTGTGGTAGTGTCCATCCCTAGATGCATCATCCATGCAAGTTTGGTCCAGGTAGGGCTTATAGTTACTTGGGAATGGATCTGCTCCTAAAACTTTAACCTGGTCACTCATCCGGAAAATCTACACTAGATCCAGCATCCGAAGCAAGTGTGGTAGTGTCCATCCCTAGATGCATCATCCATGCAAGTTTGGTCCAGGTAGGGCTTATAGTTACTTGGGAATGGACCTGCTCCTAAAACTTTAACCTGGTCACTCATCTGGAAAATCTAGGTCAGATCCAGCATCCGAAGCAAGTGTGGTAGTGTCCATCCCTAGATGCATCATCCATGCAAGTTTGGTCAAGGTAGGGCTGATAGTTACTTGGGAATGGACCTGCTCATAAAACTTTAACCTGGTCACTCATCCGGTAAATCTAGGTCAGATCCAGCATCCGAAGCAAGTTTGGTAGTGTCCATCCCTAGATGCATCATCCATGCAAGTTTGGTCAAGGTAGGGCTTGTAGTTACTTGGGAATGGACCTGCTCCTAAAACTTTAACCTGGTCACTCATCTGGAAAATCTACATCAGATCCAGCATCCGAAACAAGTGTGGTAGTGTCCATCTCTAGATGCATCATCCATGCAAGTTTGGTCCAGGTAGGGCTTATAGTTACTTGGGAATGGACCTGCTCCAAAAACTTTAACCTGGTCACTCATCTGGAAAATCTAGGTCAGATCCAGCATCCGAAGCAATTGTGGTAGTGTCCATCCCTAGATGCATCATCCATGCAAGTTTGGTCCAGGTAGGGCTTATAGTTACTTGGGAATGGGACTTGCTCCTAAAACTTTAACCTGGGACGCCGACGCTAACGCCGACACCGACGCCGGGGGTATAGCATAAGCTCATCTCGACTTCGTCGAGGTGAGCTCAAAATGGCAGAGACAAAATAAGGCCTGCATCCCAGATATTTGCATTCCTACACTAGACATGTACCTCATTTTTTAATGAAATAAAAACTATGCGTTGGCATTTTGAATACTGTACCCCTGATTTATGAAAATTAAGGTAGTGTTGAATTTCTGGGGTGCTGTATGTGATGGGGAATACTTATATCCTGCACATGATTTATCAAGCACCTGCTTGACGTTGACAAGTTTATGTACCGTGCTATTAGAGAATCATTTTACAGACACTGGAAAGGAATCTCTCCAGGCATTTCCTCTGAATAATAATGTCAGCATAAATTTGCAAAATTTTAAGAATGCATAGAAAAAATTAATACTGCACAACCTGCAAGACTTAAAACTTAACCACAGCTCAAGGTGTGTATAATTGATGTATCTTAAAGTTGATCAATAAATCTGATACAAAACAAAAGGGTCTTTTGAACACTATGTAAGTTTTGAGCATGGTTCCGATTGTTTACATAAATATGTAATGATGTGGTCAATACTTCTACAATACCAATCACTGTGTCATTATGCCAATTGTTTTTTTCTAGATCTGTAATATCTGGGAAACATGTACATGTACTTACAATCCTAATCCAATAAATGGAAAAACTGCTACATAGTATCCCACACATATTATACACAGGAGCCAAAAGGTCAAAGGAAAGTACTTCACATCTGTAATCCTGATAGTCTCATCTAAAAAAAGGTCAAAGGTCAGTGCTGACATACAGAATCCAATCACATAAATCCTTGTTACATTCACTTCTTGGGAGGCCCATGGGCTACATCGCTCACCTGAGCACTGTGGCTAGGAAAAAAATCAGTTCAGTATTGAAAAGATTTTTAAAAGATACCATTTATTTTTCACTAATTTGTAATTTTCTCCCCTTGGAAGAGGGTCTGGCCCTTCATTTGAACAAACTTGAATCCCCTTTACCCAAGGATACTCTGTGCCAAGTTTGGTTGAAATTGGCCCAGTAGTTCTGGAGAAGAAGATGAAATTGTGAAAAGTTTACAACAACAACGACGATGACAATGTCAAAAGACAACAGACAAATTTCAATCAGAAAAGCTCACTTGAGCCTTCGGCTCAGGTGAGCTAAAAAAGCAGAATGATCAAACACTCTCAATGCAGTGTTAAATGTCTGGGACTTCAACAATCAATTTTGAATATCCAGAGTTAAGTTTTAGTGTGCTATATATATTTTTAGATACTATTAATCTCACCTGAGGTGACACTGGCTCTCTTTAGAATTCTATCTGCTCTTTTATCAAAGAAACTTAGGACAAGTGCACATATCAAAGAAAATATACACATAATAGCCCCTAAAAAAAGACAAAAAATAACACTGTTTACTACACATTCTTCATATCTACATAAAAACAAAAACAAATAAATTTAATGTAAATGCAATTCCAGTGAAACCCAATTTAGACTCACATTTATGTTAACTTCCATCCCATAAAATGATGATCTCCATCCCATAAAATCAAAAGAATTTGTTCAAAAAATATGTTTTCATGTCTGAACTCCTAACACTCAGGTACTTACTGATCATGCATACTATTCTTAAACTAGTCCCTAATCCATACCACTTAACCAGACAAAAGCACCAATCCATACCACTAACCAATCAAAGGCACCAATCCATACCACTTAACCAGACAACAGCACCAATCCATACCACTTACCAATCAAAAGCACCAATCCATACCACTTACCAATCAAAAGCACCAATCCATACCACTTAACCAGACAAAAGCACAAAATCTATACCACTAATCAATCAAAGGCACCAATCCATACCACTTACAAATCAAAAGTACCAATCCATACTATTTACCAATCAAAAGCTCAAAATCCATATCACTAACCAATCAAAGGCACAAAATCCATACTATTAACCATTCAAAAGCACCAAATCCATACCACTTACCAAACAAAAGCACAAAATCCATGATTCTTACAAATCAAAACCATCAAATACATACCACTAACCAATCAAAACCACAAAACCCACAAAATCCACACCACTTACCAATTAAAAGCACAAAATCCATACCACTAACCAATCAAAACCACAAAATCCATACTATTAACCAATCAAAAGCACCAAATCCATACCATTTACCAATAAAAAGCACAAAACCCATGACTCTAACCAATCAAAAGCACCATATTCATAATATTTATCAATCAAAAGCACCAAATCCATACCATTTACAAATCAAAACCAGCAAATCTATACCAATAAAAAGTTAATACAGTAAAATACTCTTATAGCTAACATGCTTATAACAAATTGATATTTCGTTAACTTATTGGATATAACGAATTACGCTTATAAGGAAGCGAAATTGTCCGCCCCTGGCACTTCGTTTTAAGTGTGTTTTACTGTACATACCACTTGACCAGTCAAGGCAGCAATCAATGCAACTTACCAATCAAATGCACAAAATCCACCACTAATCAATCAAAAGCACATAATCCATACTACTTATATGTACCAATCAAAACCACCAAATTCATACCACAAGCTACAGTAGAAGTACTTTTTTCCGCATGGTATTAATTTACGATATGTACGTGGTCACAAATTTTCCGCAGAAATTTGTCCAAACGTACTTAATACACATGTAATGCATACAGTGACAGTCTAAGAAATCCGCGTAATTTTCTACCCACAGATTAAACAGAAAATGAGATTCCACGGAATTATGACAACATGGAAGAAAGTCCATCTACAGTAATCAAAAGAACCAAATCCATACCACTAATCAATCAAAAGCACCAAATTCATGCCACTTACGAGTCAAAAGTACCAATACATGTCACTTCAAATCAAAACCACAAAATCCATACCACTCACCAATCAAAAAGCACAAAATCCATACTTCTTAAAATTCAAAACCACAAAATTCATACCACTCATCAATGAAAGCACAAAATCCATACCACTTACAAATCAAAAGCACATAATCTAACCACTTACCAATCAAATGCATAAAATCCATACCAATCACCAATCAAAAGCACCAATACATACCACTTATCAATCAAAACTAAAATATTCCAGCCACTCACCAATAAAGAGCACAAAATCCATACCACTTACAAATCAAAAGCACAAAATCTAACCACTCACCAATCAAATGCATAAAATCCATACCAATCACCAATCAAAAGCACCAATCCATACCACTCACCAATCAAAAAGCACAAAATCCATACCACTTAAACATAGGTAATCAAAGATTACCAAGCTCACCTCGAGTCACCTCGAAGCACAAAATCCCTACCACTCACAAATCAAATGCATAAAATTCATACAATTTAATGATTAAAAGCACCAATCCATACCACTAACAAATCAAAAGCACAAAATCCATACCACTCACCAATGATATGCATAAGATCAACATATGTCTCAGTCAAATCAAAAGCACCAATCCATACCACATACAAATCAAATGTATAAAATCCATACCACTCACCAATCAAAAACACTAATCCATACCACTTACAAATCAAATGCAATAAATCCCATACCACTCCCCAATCAAAAGCACCAATCAATTCCACTTACTAATCAAATATAAAAAATCCATACCACTTACAAATCAAAAGCACCAATCCATACCACTTATCAATCAAAACTAAAATATTCCAGCCACTCACCAATAAAGAGCACAAAATCCATACCACTTACAAATCAAAAGCACAAAATCTAACCACTCACCAATCAAATGCATAAAATCCATACCAATCACCAATCAAAAGCACCAATCCATACCACTCACCAATCAAAAAGCACAAAATCCATACCACTTAAACATAGGTAATCAAAGATTACCAAGCTCACCTCGACGAGTGTTATCTATAAGTAATGCAAATTTCACATCATATTTTTTTTCCAGTTAGTGTACATCCAAAGATCAATATCCATGCAAGTTCGATTTAAGTAGGACTTATAGTTACTTGGAAATAGAACTGTTCAAAAACTTTTAACCTGTTTACTACTCAAGAAAATTTTGGTCAGCTTAAAAATCCAAAGTAAGTCTGGAAGTTTTCATCCTTAGATGCACCATCTATACAAAGTTTATCATAACAGGCCATAATATTATATAGCTACTCCAAAAAATTATCTTGGTCACTCATCTGGAAAATGTAGGTCAGATTCAGAATCCAAAGCAAGTCTGGAAGTATCCATCCCTAGATACATCATCCATGCTAATTTGGTTAAAATATGGCTAAAATTCACTCATGTGGAAAATCTAGGTTAGATCCAGCACCCGAAGCAGATGAGTTACTGTACATCCCTAGATGCATCATCCATGAAAGTTTGGTCCAGGTAGGGCTAATAGTTATTTGGGAACGGACCTGCTCCAAAATCTTTAACCTGGCCACTCATGTGGAAAATCTAGGTCAGATCCAGCATCCCAATCAAGTGTGGTAGTGTCCATCCCTGGATGCATCATCCACGCAAGTTTGGTCCAGGTAGGGCTTATAGTTACTTGGGAATGGACCTTCTCTGAAAACTTTAACCTGGTCACTCATGTGGAAAATCTAGGTCAGATCAAGCATCAGAAGCAAGTGTGGTAGTGTCCATTCTAGATGCATCATCCATGCAAGTTTGGTCCAGGTACGGCTTAAAGTTACTTGGGAATGGACCTGCTCCAAAAACTTTAACCTGGTGACTCATGTGGAAAATCTAGGTCAGATCCAGCATCAGAAGCAAGTGTGGTAGTGTCCATCTCTAGATGCATCATCCATGCAAGTTTGGTCCAGGTAGGGCTAATAGTTATTTGGGAACGGACCTGCTCCAAAATCTTTAACCTGGTCACTCATGTGGAAAATCTAGGTCAGATCCAGCATCCCAATCAAGTGTGGTAGTGTCCATCCCTGGATGCATCATCCATGCAAGTTTGGTCCAGGTAGGGCTTATAGTTACTTGGGAATGGACCTGCTCTGAAAACTTTAACCTGGTCACTCATGTGGAAAATCTAGGTCAGATCAAGCATCAGAAGCAAGTGTGGAAGTGTCCATTCTAGATGCATCATCCATGCAAGTTTGGTCCAGGTACGGCTTAAAGTTACTTGGGAATGGACCTGCTCCAAAAACTTTAACCTGGTGACTCATGTGGAAAATCTAGGTCAGATCCAGCATCAGAAGCAAGTGTGGTAGTTTCCATCTCTAGATGCATCATCCATGCAAGTTTGGTCCAGGTAGGGCTTATAGTTACTTGGGAATGGACCTGCTCCAAAAACTTTTACCTGGTCACTCATGTGGAAAATCTAGGTCAGATCCAGCATCCGAAGCAAGTGTGGTAGTGTCCATCCCTAGATGCATCATCCATGCAAGTTTGGTCCAGGTAGGGCTTATAGTTACTTGGGAATGGACTTGCTCCTAAAACTTTAACCGGGACGCCGACGCTAACACCAACACCGACGCCGGGGGTATAGCATAAGCTCATCTCGACTTCGTCGAGGTGAGCTAAAAATCAAAACCAAAAAATTCATACCACTCACCAATAAAAAGCACAAAATCCATACCACTTACAAATCAAAAGAACATAACCTAATCACTCACCAATCAAATACATAAAATCCATACCAATCACCAATCAAAAGCACCAATCCATAACACTTAAAAATCAAATGTATAAAATCCATACCACTTACAAAATAATCAAAAGCATCAATCCATACCACTTATAAATCAAAAGCACAAAATCCATACCATTTAAAAATCAAATTCAAAGATCCATTCTACTTACAAATCAAAAGCACCAATCCATATCACTCACCAATCAAAACCACAAATACATATCACTTGCCAATCAAAAGCACTAATCCATGCAACTTATCAATCAAAACTACATAATTCATACCACTCACCAATAAAGGGCACAAATTGATACCATTTACCAATCAAAAGCACAAAATCCATACCACTCATCAATCAAATGCATAAAATTCATATGTCTCAGAAATCAAAAGCACCAATCCATACCACTTACAAATCAAATGCATAAAATTCACTCACCAATCAAAAACACTAATCCATACCACTTACAAATCAAACGCAATAAATCCATACCACTCACCAATCAAAAGCACCAATCCATACCACTTACAAATCAAAAGCACAAAATCCATACCACTCACCAATCAAATGCATAAAATTCATTATACTTACAAATCAAAAGCACCAATCCATACCACTCAATAATCAAAACCACCAATCCAAATCACTCACCAATCAAAACCACCAAAACTACCACTTATCAATCAAAAGCACCAATCCACACCACTTATCAATCAAAACCAAAATATTCATGCCACTCACCAATAAAGAGCAAAAATAATAAGGGTCTGTCATCTTTATCATAATAATAAGGAAACGGATTAGTATAAGTTTTCAAACTTGTTTCCGAATCCTTTTTGATTTTTGTACTACTTATCTGTATTTTCTGCTTGTCATTTTCAAATAAAATATGGTTTAAACTAAAGAGCAAAAAATCCATACCCCTTACAAATCAAAAGTACAAAATCTAACCACTCACCAATAAAATCCATAAAATCCATACCAATCAACAATCAAAAGTACCAATCCATACCACTTAAAAATCAAATGTATAAAATCCATACCACTTAAAAATAATCCAAAGCACCAATCCATATCACTTACAAATCAAAAGCACAAAATCTATACCACTAACCAATCAAATGCATAAAATCCATATTTCTCACCAATCAAAAGCACCAATCCATACCACTTACAAATCAAATGCATAAAATTCATACCACTCACCAATCAAAAACACTAATCCATACCACTTACGAATCAAATGTAAACAAGATGTGTTTGTGAAACACTGATGCCCCCGTATGGCAGCTTATGGTGAAGGTTAAAGTTTCTCAAATGCAAGTCAAAATCCAGGCCAAAAGATAAAAAATGTTGATACCCAAAGAAAGGTCTTGTCTCCAGGAATACACCTGTGAAATTTGATAGACCTAGATACAACTGTTCAAAGGTTATGGCCAAGGTTAAAGTTTTTTAAATAAAAGTCAAACGTCAAGGTCAAGGTCAAAGTGGTTGGTATCCAAAGGAAGATCTTGTCACAAGGATTACATATGTGAAATATGAATGCCCTATCATCAACCATTCAAAAGTTATGGCCAAGTTTGAAGTTTTTCAAAAGTAGGTCAAACTCCTAGGTCAAGGTCAAAGGGTCAAAGTGATTGATATCCAAAGGAAGTTCTTGTCACAAGGAATACACATGTGAAGTTTGAAACCCTAAGCACCAACTGTTCAAAAGTTATGGCCAAGGTTGAAGTTTTTCAAAAGTAGGTCAAACTCCAAGGTCAAGGTCAAAAGGTCAAAGTTGTTGGTATCCGAAGGAAGGCCTTGTCACAAAGAATACACATGTTAAGTTTGAAACCCCAAGCACCAACTGTTCAGAAGTTATGGCCAAGGTTAAAGTCTCATAAAATTTTTGCAAAAGTGGGTCAAACTCCAAGGTCAAGGTCAAAAGGTCAAATATGATGGTACCCAAAGAAAGGTCTTGTCACAAGGAATACACATGTGAAATATGAAAGTCATAGCTCCAACCAATCAAAAGTTATGGGCAAGGTTAAAGTTGACAACAGACAGACAGACAAACAGACAAACAAACAGACAAACGGACAAACAGACAAACAGACAGACAGGACAAAAACAATATACCCCCTGGATCTTTCGATCTGGGGGCATAAAAATCTATACCACCAAGAAATCAAAAGCACCAATCCATACCACTTACAAATCAGAACCACAAAATCCATACCACTCACCAATCAAATGCATGAAATCCATTCTACTCACACATCAAAAGCACCAATTCATACCACTCAATAATCAAAACCACCAATCCATACAATTTATCAATCAAAACCACAAAATTCAAACCACTCACCAATAAAGAGCACAAATTGATACCACTTACCAATCAAATCCACAAAATCCATACCACTCACCAATCAAATGCATGAAATCCATACAATTTATCAATCAAAAAGCACAAAATCCATACCACTTACAAATCAAATGCATATTAAGATCCATACCACTCACCAATCAGATGCATAAAATCCATACCACTCACCAATCAAAAGCACAAAATCCATACCACTGAAAAATCAAATGCATAAAATCCATATGTCTAACCAATCTGAAGCACCAATCCATACCACTTACAAATCAAGTGCATAAAATCCATACTACTCACCAATCAAATGCATAAAATCCATACAATTTAATGATCAAAAGCACCAATCCATACCACTTACAAATCAGAAGCACAAAATTCATACCACTCACCAATCAAATGCATAAAATCCAAATGTCTCACCAATCAAAAGCACCAATCCATACCACTTACAAATCAAAAGCACAAAATCCATAACACTCACTGATCAAAAGCACCAATTCATACCACTTACAAATGAACAGCACAATATTCATATCACTCACCAATCAACAGCACAAAATCCATACCACTTAAAAATCAAAGGCACAAATTCCATACCTTTTACTTAACAAAAGTCTCTTACCAATCATAAGCACCACTCCTAAGCTGGTGTACTCATGTTTAAACCCCATACCACTTATCCATTGGTAGATGGGCTGCATGATATTCATATTCACAGTACTGCCCTAAAAATTTCAAATATACATGTTAAATTCTATAATACTATTTCAACCCTACAGAAATATATTGTTACAGTATTACTTAATAACTTCTAAAATATTCATTTACTGAAAAGTAAAGTTCTCACAGACAAACACGAATTGCACATTGTTAGATGAATTTGTTACACAGTTACACCTATCAAATTTCTACTAGTCTTTTGACTTCCTGAACTGAAATTTGACCATTAATCAGAAAGCACAAGACTACTATACTGGTAACTTACCACTCTAGAGAAACTGAGTTGAAGACCAAACACCATGTTGAGTTCTTTCCCTTGGAACCACTTTACAGCATAGGTATTCTGGGCTACACAAAGAGATTCTCCTCCAATGCTGAAATACCAGTCATTGCAATTTTCATAAACTTAACCATCACATTTGCTACATTTTTTTCCATTCAAAACTCTTCCATTTGGTAATATATTTTTTCCTTATTATCTATCTTTGAACATTACAATATAGATAGTGAAATTAAGCAGAATTTTATAATTAAACAAAAATAAAAATAGAGCCTCATACAATTCAACCATAAAAATATATTTTTTTTTATTATTAATAATCCATTTTGTTTTATTAGTAATAATAAGAAATACATTGAAAATTAAAGGTGGGTGCCCTTTTCAAGATTTAAAATTTAGATCTTACAATATGTATGCATCAAAAATGCATTACTTCTCTGAAGGAATGGTAAGAAAACTGATTCTAGGTGTGTTCCAGTAAGTGTACCAGTGAATTAATTTTTAACTGCCACATGGACAAAAATCATACAGTTTCTTACTCAAATTAACATGTAATATTACATTGCACAAAACAGCTTAACAAATTGTAATACTGGTACTTGATCTTGTAAGTATATAAGCCTGATCAAAGTTGTCAACTAGATTTGAACCTGGAAGCTCCCACTATCTGTGCAGGTCCTCTACCACACAGATCAAACCTACTTAATTCCTCTTAAAATCTTTCCATTTTTCCTTGAGGTTTTCCTTCTAAAATCCTCTACAGACTCTTCTAAAACTACATACAGATTTTGGTGCTGTGGACCGAAATACCCAATCCCTATTACAGGTCATAGCATGTACAATTTTCTTTTAACATCACTGTAGTCCCTACTTGTGGAATCATTATATCTCATTATAATAATTCTATAAAATGTATAATCTGATTCCTCTCAGACACCTACATGACTCAAAAAACATCAAGTATCCCAGGGAAGAAATATCACATCCCACCACTTCTGAACACTCTAAAGTTTTCCTTTAAAAGTTTTTGTTTTTGGCTGAGAATACCTAGCAGACATAAACTGTCACACTATCTGACAGCTGTAGGTTCCATATTCCCAGTGAGAAATTAATATTCAAAATTACTGAACAAAAAGGACTCAAGAACACATTCAAAACTTGCAGAAGAGTTTCAGAGACTCTCTCCAATTGAAAGTGAATTTGAGAGTGTTACCAGACCTGAAAGTTTATGCTTACTGTATACAGGGAAATTTTTGTCCCCTTTTTATTTTTGTCCCTTTCGTCCAAGTCACAAGTATGTGAATTTAAGACGGGGTGAATTCAAAGAAAAAAGTATAATTTCTTAAACAAAACTGTGACTGGGCGAAATTAAAATGGGGCAAATTGTTTGCAAGTGTGAAAGGGCGGAAATAACACGGGGCAAAAATAACCCTGTATACAGTATTTTTAAAAGTTTGATGTAATTTGGTTTAATAAACAATGAATTGCATGAATATTTGGGAAATGTGGAGATTTATTCAGCCTTCAGAGAATATGATTTTTTGGCTGAATAAATTTCATATTTCCCTCACCATCATGACTTGTGATTAATGTGTAATGTATTATAGTACAGGGTGAATTACCAGCAATATTTGGAAATGTAGATGTACATTTTTCCACAGGGTCATAATTCCACAAAATCACAATTTCTATTTAATCTGCGGGTAAAAAATAATGCAGATTTCTTAGATTGACGCTATTTGCCTAAAATGTACTTCAAGTACACTGGAACAAATTTCCCTGAAAAATTTGTGACCACCAAATAGTGTAAATTTACACTAGGTGGAAAAAAGTACTTCTACAGTATTTGTAAATGTTAAGCCTGAATTTATATTACCATATGATTTTATTTAATACTTAAGTTTTTTTGAAACATACAGAAATACACTACCTAGGCCATGTATTTATGATTTTTTTCAGCTACCATTTGTGGTTTTTCTAGATAGGTTTAAAAGTTGTCAAGCACATGTCATCTTACCATGTGACAACCAAACTAATCAAGTCTTAGGCTAGAAGTCTGTGAATGTCTCACACTTTGTTACGTCAAAGCAAGAGATAATTAAGTGACTGTATTTACAGTGTAAATATCATGCTATGTTTCTACTGTTTTTTTTTTTGTGATAAAATCAATGATGTCTTATTTTCTTGTAACCTCAGTTGATACCAATGTCAACTTACCCAAAAACAAATCTTCCTACATCCATTAGCCATACATGGTTAACCAGAGCACCTGCAGCAAACAACACCTGTAAATATAAGAATAACACTATTCATATTTAATTCCAACTAAGATTTTTACTCATATCTATTTTTCTGTCACTTCTTAAAATTGCATGAAGCTTCAACAATGATTCCCATTCCTTATATTTTTGTTATATCATTTTCATCATGTAAATCAAATCAAAAAAACTTATGCATTCAAGCATATGGGCCTTGGGTAATGTCAGTAAATCTTGACTGATGCATTACCGGGTACTTACTGGTTTTTGGAAACATTGAAGAATAATGGCTTAATTTTTTTTTAATTCAAACAAAGCTTCAGGTCAAAAGATGAAGAATTGGTATATATAGATATGTATAAAAATATAAAAAAAACAAAATGGTTACCTGACCCGCAGTAACAAACAAGGAGAAAATGATGGCTCCCATCCTGACCCCAAAAACCCGGTCGATGAGGAACCCCCCAAAGAAGCAGAGAATGACGTTAGGCCAGGAGTACCAAGAATAGAACCCCATAAAGGTGCTCTCAGAAATGTCCAGGGCCTTTATCATGGTATCCTGGAGAGCAGCCGGGTTATCATAGCAGAAGTAGCTTCCTACAAAAAATAAAAAAAGAACTTTAATTCTTTACATCTAACAGATTTTATACTCTAGACTTAATCTTTTACACTAGTGGCACAAAACATTATTCACAAAATAGACTACTGCCATCAACTATGGAATTATTCTGGTCAATTGCCTGGTCACTCAACCAATGTAATAATGCATTCATTTCCTGTTATTTTACTGAACTACTTTAGTAATCCCCCCTCTCCCACACACATTCAGTTTTTTATGCCCCCGAAATCGAAGATTCAGGGGTATAGAGTTTTTGCCCTGTCCATCCATCTGTCTGTTTGTCTATCTGTTTGTCCCCAAAAACTTTAACATTGCACATAACTTTTTGATTGGTTGGAGCTATGGCTTTCATATTTCTTTTAAGTGTATTCCTTGTGACAAGACTTTCTTTGGGTACCAACATATTACAACTCTTGACCTTGACCTTGGAGTTTGACCCACTTTTGCAAAAATTTACCTAACTTTAACCTTGGTCATAACTTTTGAACAGTTGGTGCTAAGGCTTTCATATATCACATGTATTATAATTGTGACAAAACCTTTTCATGGGTGTAAATATTTTATATTTGATCTTTTGACCTTGGCCTTATAGTTTAATCCACTTTTAATACACTTTAACCTTGGTCAAAACTTTTGAACAGTTAGAACAAGGGCTTTCAAATTTCACAGCTATATTCCTTGTGACAAGATCTTCCTTTGGATACCAACAATTTTGACCTTTTGACCTTGGAGTTTGACCTACTTTTGAAAAACTTTAACCTTTGCCATAACTTTTGAACAGTTGGTTCTAGGGCTTTTATATTTTGCATGTGTATTTCTTATTACAAGGTCTTCCCCTGTGTAACATTAATTTTGACCCTTTGACCTTGACCTTGGAGTTTGACCTAATTTTAGAAAATATTATCTTTGACCATAACTTTTGAATGGTTGGTGCTTGGGCTTTCATATTTACCAGGTATATCCATCGACACAAGTCCTTTCTTTGGGTAACAACATTTTTGATCTCTTGACCTTGACGTTTTACTTGCATTTGAGAGACATTAAACCTTCACCATAAGCTGCCATTTGGGGGCGTCAGTGTTTCATAAACACATCTTGTTTTAATACAAAATTCACTGAATCTGAGGAAAAATTCTTCTTTCATTCTAGTTTTACAAATACAGATTAATTGAAAAGAATATGTTATAATTAGTTCTTAATTCTTAAAAAAAAACATTGTGAAACACTAATGCCCATGGTGAAGGTTTAAGTTTCTCATATGCAAGTCAAACTCATCGCCTGCAGTGCGCAGTGGTTAGAGCGTTCGCTCTAGAGTCGCAGAGTAAGGAGTTGATCCTTACGTCATGGGTTCGAATCCCACTGTGGGACGTGGAGACTGGTCCTTCGGATGAGACTGTATAAACCTAGGTCCCATGTCGCAGTAGGTGCTGGCACAAAAAAGATCCCTCACTGCTCAATGGCCCTGAGTGCAGAGTATAGGTCAAAATTTGTAGCTCTCCACCGGCAAGTAGTGGCGTCTCCATATGAGTGAAATATTCTCAAGAAGGAAATTAAACAATAAACAAACAAACAAGTCAAACTCCAAGGTCAAGAGATCAAAAATGTTTTAACCCAAAGAAAGGTCTTGTCAAAGGGAATACACATGGAAATATGAAAGCCCTTGCAGCAACCATTCAGAAATTATGATCAAGATTAAATTTTTCAAAAGAAGATCAAACTCTAAAGTCACAAGAAATAGTCAAATACTCATATGAAGTATGAAAGATCTAACATCAACCATTCAAAAGTCACGACCATGGTTAAAGTTGTGTCAAATTTGGCAAAAGTAGGTCAAACTCCAAGGTCAAGAGGTCTAATATATTGGTAGTTCGGTACACAAAGAAAGGTCTTGTCACAAGGAATACACATGTGAAATATAAAAACCCCAGCTTCAACCATTCAAAAGTTATGGCCAAGGTTCAAGTTTTTGCAGACAAACAGACTGACAGAGCAAAAAACAATAACCCCCCCCCCCAAAATCTTGGATTACAGGTGGCAAAAAAACTATTATGGAGCATGTTCCTGCGCAGTGTTATTTGCAGCTATTAGCCTCACCTATGGCCACAACATTTAACTAAACTGAACCAAGTCAGTGTAAGTCTTAGATAACTAAACTGAACTAAGTCCGTGTAAGTCTTAGATAACTAAACTGAACTAAGTCAGTGTAAGTCTAGGTAACAATAAAAACATAGGTAAGGCCCAATTAAAAATTACAAAGCTCAACTCAACAAATATTAGGAAAAGTCAAAATCTCACAACAAATGAATGTTCTGGTAGTGTGCATTCCTAGTTGCAAGTACATCAATGCAAGTTTGTTTTGGGTAGATTTTCACTTACTTGGGAATGGATCTGCTCCCAAAACATTGAACTGTTTATTAACCAGAAATCTAAGTCAGATTCAGCATTATAAGCATGTTTGGTATTGTGCATCCTTAAATACATCAATTAATCATATAGCTTATTGTAGCTTAGGAATGGAATTCTGCTTCATACTTTAACCTGGTCAGTCATCCAGAAAATATTGGTCAGATCCAGCATCCAAAGTAAGTCTAGCAGAGTGCTGTCTAGATGCATCATACAAGCAAATTTAATCACCATGTGACTTATAGCTATTTTGAAATGGACTTGCTCCAAAAACTTTAACTGGCTGACTCATCTGGATCAAAAATCCACAGCAAGTCTGGTAGTGTGCATAATCCATGCCAGTTTGGTTCAAGAATGGCTTATAGTTACTTGGGAAGGAGACCTACTCCAGAAACATTAACCTGAATTTTATTTGGGAAAATATTGAATGAAAATTAGCAACTGAAACCTGACTTGTACAGTAAAACATACTAGATGCATCATTCATGCAACTTTGATCAATATAGGGCATAAATTTACTTGAAAATAAATCTGCTCCAAAAACTTTCACCAAGGACGGCGATAGTGAGGATATACATTAGCTTCCAGACTTGTTGAGGTGAACTAAAAAATCTATACCTATCAACCATGATTTGTAATTGATTGATTGATTGTATGTTGTTTTACATCCAATTCGAGAATTTTTCACTCATATAGAGACGTCACCATATACTGGTGAAGGGCTTCAAATTTAGACCTTTACTCGGCACTCAGGGCCATTGAACAGTGAGGGTTCTTTATCGTGCCAACGCCTACCGTGACACGGGGCCTCGGTTTTTAAGGTCTCATCCAAAGGACCCACAACTTTCACTTCAAAGTGCCAAGCGCTTGGCAAAGGAACAGTTGCTACCTATTTTTTATCAACTTAGGTCCATGATTCGAACACACGACCTTCCGATCACGGAGCGAGCGCTCTACCAACTGAGCTACCTTGACAGTCCATGAGTTCTTAAAGAATATATTTATTACAGGAAATAAATAGTTTACTTGGCCTAAACACAAGGTTACAAGAAAAACAATGTATCTAAACCTGTACATCATAATCATGAAATTTTATAGTTAACTGTTCATACACTTTATAGCAGAGTATTCTGTGATACTGTGTGAGGATTAGTCACTCAAATCCAAACAGAGTACCATGCAGTCACTTAAAACTCTCAAGAGGAGATGATATGTCCACTCAACAGTCAACATTGTGGGAGGGGGTGCAAAAGAGTAGTCATCTACCAGACATTTTTGTACTACTATGTACTACCTCTAATGATTGTTTACAGACAAAATAAATAAAAGAAATGACAGTTTTTGCCCTCTAGTGCCTATTCCCCAGTAAGTAACCACCCTCTCTGACTTCCTTCTCCATTGTGGACAGAATGTGACATTTTATTTCCTACTCTGTTAAAACATATATAACATTTTATTAAGTTTGCAGGAAGGTACATGATTGATTAATTTGTTTTCTTGTAAGTTAGTGCCAAGATTTTCTTTTACGATGTGTAATCTATGACGTATTATTGTACACTTCTCCTTTTACACACTGTATCATGATCTTTTAAAAGTGCTCACTTGTCAAATTTCCTAAGTGCCCAGGATGCTTTTTAGGAAAACAGCAATTAGATCATATTGTTCTGCAAGAAGAGCAAGGCTCAACTTTAACTAAATCATTCACTTGTCCATTGGACAAACTGCCAACAAATGTCACTTGTATGAATTCATTGTTTACTTGCCCCACTCCATCGTCAGAAACCCATGGTCGGTCTCGCTTCTAAAAGTAAGAGAAGCGAGACCAACCATGGGTTTCCAACGATGGCCCCACTCTGAAGATATAAAAAATTGTAAACATAGGTAATCAGAGATTACAGAGCTCACCTCATCAAATGTTGTCTTTAAGTAAGGCAAAGTCCTATATTAAACTAAAAATCTAGAAGTGTACATCCCAAGATGCAACATATATGCAATTTTGATCTGATAGGACTTTCAGTTACTTGGGAATGAATTTATCCAAAAACTTTAAACTAGTCACCCATCCAAAAACTGTAATTCAAATCCAGCATCTGAAGCAAGTTCAAGGGTGTTCATCCCTTGATGCACCATCCATGCAAGGTTCAGAAAGCCCTTATAGTTTCTTGGTAATGGACCTGCACCAAAAACTTAAATTTGGTCACTTATCTAGAAAATGTAGATCAAATTTAGCTTCTGAAGCAAGTCCAATAGTGTGCATCCTTAGATATATCATCCATGCAAGTTTGGTCAACATAGGGCTTATAGTTACTTTAGAATGAACCTTCTTAAAAAACTTTAACATGGTCACTCATCAAGAAAATCTAGGTCAAATCCAGCATCTGGAGCAAGCCTGGTAGTGTGCAGGTGTAGATGTATTGATCATCCATGCAAGTTTGGTCAACATAGGGCTTATAGTTACTTTAGAAATGAACCTGTTCCAAAAGCTTTACCCTGATCACTCATCTGGAAAATGTAAGTCAGATCCAGCATCCAAAGCAAGCCTGGTAATGTGCATCCTTAGATGTATCAGCCATGCAAGTTTGGTCAATATAGGGCTTATAGTTAATTTGAAATGAGACCTGCTCCAAAAACTTGAATCTGATCCAAAAACATTAATCTGGTCCTTATTTGGCTGAAATTGCAGCATCTGAAATGTTGACTGGTACAATGAAACACACTAGAAGCATTTTTCATGCATCTCTGATTAATGTAGAGCACAGAAGTACTTAAAAAGAAAACTGCACCAAAAACTTTAACCTGGGATGCCGACGCCGAGGGTATCACATAAGTTCCCCTGACTTCATTGACGTGAGCTAAAAATGTATTTTCAAGAATGAAGTGGTACATGTATATGTACCTGTATAATTTTTGACTTTCTAAATACAGTAGCCCTGTCTGTAACCTAGTCTTGATCACCCTCGTTTGTCTGCCTCGATTGACTGAGCCCCTTAATATTGTAATGTTTTTTACATTTGATGTTTGTAATTTTTTTTTAAATTATAATGTGAAATGAATTCATGTTTTCCAATAATATTTACAATATTCCATAATGTTACAAAAAGTAGCTTGTCCGATCACATAAGTGTGTCTGGAGATTGACCTATCACAAAATGAACTGGACACCGACAATCAGACAAACTTGAAAATTGAATTCTGGGGAATATTTCATAGGGAATATAAACTTAATGGAAACACTTTAAATAATATATATATTGGGCTAAATATGTGAATATGAGATGGGAAGACAGATGTTATACAATCTTCCATAGAGAATGATAGCAGTAAATATGCATATAGTGCTTGATTGATATTTTTGTCTGGCTCCAATGTTCAAGTAGAGTGGCCTTATGCCACACAGTTTTTTCCATTAATCTTAAAAACTCAACTTGTCTCTATCAACTTTTCAATTTTCAAACTCGCAAAAAGCTAACAATAAAATATTCACTTTAGACTATAAAATATGACCTGTATATAGTTTATATTTAATGGAAGTTTGTCTTTAAACTTGAAACTAAGCTTCTTCATTAAACTTTCAAATGAATTAAAATACACATGTAAATTGTGGATAATCAATGGCCTCCTTATCATCATTTAATTTTTTGCTTTTTACATAAAGAGATTATAATTTGAGACTCCACCCCCTGTATACCAACACTGACTTCATCAAAATTTGAAAGATTGACATTCTTCAACACATGCAACACTTCAAAGTTCAAATTAACAACACTACACAATGTATGAAGTAAATTACTATTTTATTTATCAAGTTCAGCACAATATCTCTATTAAGCTAGATATGGCATCCACTGATAACTTCTCCTTCACTTCATATGAAAACCATAATTTTTGTATATATGCAGGAAAAAAAAAAGAATTTCTCACAACCACCTGGCGTCGCAACTTTCCTTCCCTCTTGCACACTAATCTGAATTACCAAACCTTTGAGCTTTGATAGATTTGATGCAAGGAAATTGAATCACATTTTCATATTTGCTCATTTTCATGGACTCTGTTTAAGCAATGTAATCACCAAAACACATTCACCTATAGTAAGAACTGAAGTCTCTCCTGTCAATAGTACTTTTTTTCTATGATCGTGATTCACAGCCCAACATACAAATATGAGAACATGAAAAATGTGACATATTCCACCTGAAACAAATCAACAGAGTCCCAGAGGTTGGGTACATTTGTACTTCCTAATTCTGACCAAGCAAAAGGAAAGGAAAGGTGTGATACCAGCTGGCTGTTGGGATTTCTGGGATTTTAGCATAATGTCCACTCTGACTATTCTCCACAAATGTAAAATATAGCAGGTCCAGTCCAAAGACTATTTCTACCTACGTAGCTATTAATAGCTACCTAGGTATTTAAACCTACTTGAAGTAGCTACTTCTACCTACTTTAAGGCCAAAATAAAATAATTGTTTGTTTGGAATTGCCTCACGCCTCATTGAAATGACCCCTCCTGGAAAAATTTTATTGACCAAAAATAAGAAGATTTTTTTTATTCAATCAATTCTTGGCCTGCTACCACATGTGCCACCCAATCACCTAATAAGTGTAGGATCTAAGCAAAACTGGGTTCACGGTTGATGGGAGATACCCTTTACAAAAAGGCAGAAAATAATGTGTTCATTCCTTATTGAGATTTTTATCATCAATTTTTAATTTTGAATTTTGAAAAAAAATTTCCCTCCCTCCCTCCTGGGTCTGAAACCTCCCAGGCAGCAATTCCAAACAATCATTTTTTTAAGGATGGCCTAAATAACCTGTCTTTGAAAAATCCAAATAAATAATAATTTAGGCGCATCTTTAAAACAGGTCAGACTTGTTGTTTATCATGCTGTACACTTGCACGGCAAAATTTGGGGTGTTAATTTGAAAACTTTATGATGAAGAATGGAGAGGAAACATATGAAAAATCGTCCTAAATACCTTTTATCTAAGAATGCATGAGGGCAAGTTTTAAAATTTGTGCAGATTACAGATTTGTAAGACATTTTAGGCTTCTTACCATGTAGCTTTGATTTTTTAACTCCTAGAAAATGGAATGGGTGTAGTTATTGATGCAAAATTGAAAAAGTAATCATTTTTTGGCCAAATTTTTTTCATACTCATCATCAGTGTGACTATATGTATCAAGAAATTTGATACTCAACATATTGCGTCCTTGCTGCATTTGGCCATAAAATGCAAGTAAAGCAAAAAGTAGGTAAAAATATCTACCTGGAGTAGGTTTAAATACCTATTATAGGTAGCTATAAGTAGCTACCTAAGTAGAAAGAGTCTTTGTACTGGACCTGTATAAAGGTGGGGGTAAGAGAGAAAGAAACGTGCAATCAGAGTACATTTTTCCCTTCAATTTTCTATGAATTCTCACCAAAGCTGAGGAAACACATGATGATAAGGATCAAGTAACGATGAAGTGGTCTGTGGGGATTACACGCCATGGTTCCTCCACATCCCTCCAAGACCTCTTCTTCTTCTTCATCTCCCTCGTTCACTGCTCCAATGAGGGGCTTCTTTTCCGACTCCGTCATAATGTTTGAATAAACTTAATACTTAAGGATGATAGTAATTTTCTACTGTTTGCTGCAACACCATTCTAATCTGCTCTCTCACTTTGTTGTACTTGTGACAATCACTCATGCGTTCTGGTCACGAGACCTCTTAAAATAGTTTATTATAATCTCGAAGTCAAAGTATTGATGAAAGTCTTTGGCTACAGTGATTAATTTATTATTTATGAAGACTCAGTTATGTATTAATTTAACTACCCTCGTAAATAAGATAGTTTAATTTCAATAAATTTCGTAAAATCGTTTTTCTTTTTTATTTAAAGATTGTTTTAAAATTTCCGGTGTAAACTTCCGCTTAGAGCTCATGAAAAAGAAACGAGAATTTTAAAGCTGTTTTGTGCAAAGAACTGCTCGGCAGAATGAGTTCTGCGAGCAAGGTACTGTTGAATTAAAAGTGTTTTATTTTTTAAAGCTTTATATGGTATTGCATTATTGTAAGTGAGTACTTCAGTAATAAGCAAACGGAGAGAGGGGGGGGGGGGATATATATTTTTTAATTCATCATCCTCACAATTCTTTAAAAACTTATCTTTTTAATTCAGGTTGGTGAAATATTTACTGCGGCAGGTGCTGCTTTTACTAAATTAGGAGATCTTACTCTGCAGCTTCACCCAACAGCAGAACAAAGCCCATCCAGGTAAAAATTACCATGCTTTCTTCTTCCATATATAGTGCAGGGCCCTCTGTAGAGCATTTTCACACTTTATGCAATAATGTACACTGTCTGTGCTTTGCAAACATAGGTGCAGGTTAAAAATAGGGGGTAGACTTTACTTTACCGGTCCCCAGATCCGCAAGATCCGCGCGTTCATTGCATTAGTAAGATTACGTCACTCAACTGATAAGGGTTAGTCTTGCACATTTTTTGACTGGTTAGGTACGTTAGTCTTGCACCTACCTGAGAGATTAGGGTTAGTCCTTGCACAAGTTTTCAACTGATTAGGGTTAGTCTCGCATCCATCCGAGAGATTAGGGTTAGTCCTCGCACATGGGTTAGTCTAGCATCCGCCCGGGAGATTTGGGTTAGTCCTCGCTTACCATCCGAGGGATTAGGGTTAGTGTCTTGTTTTTTTAAAATTCAGCTTTAACGACATCTCTTTGGTTTGTTTACATGAAAAAATGGCTAAGTACGAAAGAAACGCTACTAAGCATGCGCCGCACGCGCTCTGTTGACAATTATTTTTTGTCTCCTTTTCACTGAATAAACAATATTAATCTCTTTTTTCAGAAAACGAGGTTAAAAACTTCGTTTAAAAACGAAGTTTTAAACTAAACTTTTATCTGTAGAATTCGATTTTGGGGTCAAAAAGGCTAAAAACCTCATACTTTTAATTTTTTTCGATCGCTCACGCGATCTCATATATACTGAAGTCGCCTACGGCGACACTATATTTTAGCGCGTTTTTCTGGGGACCGGTAAAGTAAAGTCGTTCCAAAATAGGATAAAAAAGACATCAAATGCTTTAGTGGAAGACTGTCAGCCCTGCAATGAAGGTCTCTAGAGACTTGGCAGTGGTGCTCTTGGTGACTAGTTCCATAGTCTGATACCAGAGGGAAAGACAGAATGTTCGGTTTGTGACTGCTCTGCAGAATGTAATCTCAGCAAGTTGCATTGAGACTAAAAATATTGTACTTAAGTCTCTTAAGGATGAGATATCAGTACAAAATTTTTAGTCTCAACAAATCTAGCTGAGATTGTGTAGAATGATGTAATGAGTCTGAGAGAGTGTCCACAGGTAGTGCCGTATTGGTGCTGAGTAGGTGCATGTATGCTGTGGTTGGTATGCATAATTCAGTTCACTATAAGTACTACCTTGTGGTCCGAAATGTAGGGTAGGCCATTCTAGGTTAAGTATCATTTGGCTAGTACATGTACTACTGAACTTGTAGTTAATTACAACAAATCTTGCTGCTTTATGCAAACACCTTTTAGCTTGTGTTAAAAACTCAAAATTGCTAGCTGTATAAGGATTCCAGACAAGTGAGGCAGACTCAAAAATTGGCCTGACAAGTCTTTTGTAACACTGGGCTTCAATCTGGGTCTGCAGGGTTACTATATTTCTCTGGAGAAAGCTGAAGTTGGTGTTTGCTGTCATTATAGTTGCAATGACATGATCATTCCCAGAAATCTTGCTTGATAAGGTGACACAGCTCTAGATATGTTCCCTTATTGACAGTGGCCAGCTGATGTCTATGCAGGGTATACTTGGCAATGATAGGATTGCATTTCCGAATGATCCTTGATAGCTAGCATTTACAGGTGTAGAAGGACATAGATCTGCCAATTACTTTCCCATTCTTATAACTTCTTTGGGTCTTATAGGATATTTGAGTCTGACTCTCAGATTTGATTCTGCAGTAAAGCAGACCAGTGTCTGTGAAGAGCCTGCCAGTTAATTTTACTCCCTCCAGCAGTCAGAGTGCATTCAAGTTCTTTTAAGAATTCTCATATCTATCATAGTGAATGGACCTCACTATCAAAGTTATGCTTTGTGTCACTTGCTTCACTCAATATAAAGTATAACCCAGTTCCTTCTAGCAAGTCATTCCCATCAGCACCACAAAAGATGAATTTTTGTATTCTTGTCCAGTTTGGTGCCTTATTATATGCTTTTATTTTTTAGTGGAAAATGGACTCCACATGAGGTAGATATGCTGAAGAGTGCAGTCAAACGTTTTGGGGACGATTTGGACAACATCAGTGAAATAATCAAAACAAGAACCATGTAAGTAGGGCTTTGAGTTTCATGTGAAATTAAGAAAAAAATACTATTGAGATTTGTTTAAAACTGTTGGTAATATATACATGTACAATTTCTATATACATATGTACCTTCTGAAGGTCACTTTAGATTTAGTTATTATGACATCCAGTTTATTTTTAGTAACATATTAGAGGAAATTTTATAATTTAAGTCATGATAAAATAATCTATGATCTACACAAAGAGAAAAGAGGAAGAAAAATTTATTATGTGTTCAGAATTATTATTAATAATGGGCTAATTTGTATCAATTTCCTCAAAGTAAAAAAAAAAAATATGCTTTTCATCTTTATGATAATATGTTGTCATGAGTTCCTTTTTATTAATTTTACTTCCTTAAGAAAAAAATATTCGTAAAATATAGCAGATTTATTCCAAAAATGGATTGCTGTTTTAAATTTAGTTCTCAGATTAAGACACAGATGAAAAGGAAAGCATATGAAGATGCCGGACTTCCTCAGCCGACAGAACCGTCTCCCAAAAAACAAGCTGTGAGAGCCGAAAAAACACCACAGGTTACAGTAACAACTGCCACAGCTAGCTCTTCTGTAGAATCTCAACCTAAAAAACAGCCACAAAATGGTAAATTCAATCACTTGACACTCATGTTGCAGGCATGGGACACTTAAGTTGTAGAAATTTCTGCAATTCTTGTATTCCACTTATCCATTGTCTCTTGTACAATGGAGTAAAATTTGCATTACTGGTAACATGACAATCAACTGATGAGAAAGAATTGCTTTCTAGAGATATATAAGTATGTGTGTGTTGGTCATTCTGAAGCATTTACATGTACCTTCAAGTTTCATCTTTAAAAAAGAAACTGGATGAGTTTGAATCATGCATTTGATGTAAATTAAGCATAGTAAAGGTCGTGGATCTGTATTGATTCTAGAGTGTATTTTTTCAGGTCATCTGAGTGAAAGGCTCCAGTAAACTTTTCTGATTCAAAGTTTTACACAAAATATGCAAACTTCTGAAGAACAAAACTACAGTTGATGTTTTTGAATATTTGGATTTAGAGGATTTGAACCTAGGTTCAGTTGAAATGAATTACAGTGTATAATGCTGTGAAATGAATTACAGTGTATAATGCTGTGAAATGAATTACAGTGTATAATGCTGTGAAATGAATAACAGTGTATAATGATATGAATTGCAGATGTAACGCTAAGTGCCCTCAATGCTCCAGAGAGTGATGTTGACATTGAAGGAGATTCTTCATCATCAAAACGTTTAGATTTTGATTCAGGTAAATTGTTAATTTATTATACAGTGGTACCACAGTTATCAGAACACAGAAAGTCCCAAGTTTTCACCGTCCAGAAGATATTTTAGGAATCTTGTATAATTGTGTAATTTTACTGATCAAAAAAAAAATTGTGTTCCACACCTAATCGAAACTGAGCAAAGAGAAGGCAGATTGAATTAACTGCCAGTCATTGGCATGTAGATGTTGTTTTTATCTAGCTTCATTTATGCAAATCTTTTCATCTGGGTCAAAGGTATCAGATTTGTCTAGATTTTTTGATATCTGAGTTAAGATGTACATGTGTCTATGATATCTGCAAAAGTTCCAAATTTAGTAGTTTTCAAGTTTAAATTGTTATCATAAATGCAAACAATACATAATTACAAAGGCACCTGTCATTTTAGACATATTATCAAATATAAAAATCTTAAAAGAATTGAAAGGGTAAAGTTTTATCATTTGATTTTTTTTTTTTTTTTTGAAAACTATAAAATCTATATATTTAGGTTTGGTTTTGTTATTGCATTCTAATTTCTGCATCCTAAGATTTGGCCACCAGTAGACATTCCAAAGACATATTATTCATGTAAACTGAAACATAAATACATGTACTTGCTCTGAATTAGTTGAGTTTTTAACATCTTCTTTCCTTAAATAGGGAAAATAAAAGTAAAACAGGAAGGAATTCTGTAAAAGGTTTTATTACAGTTGTAATGCTATTTGACACTAACATGTTTCCTTCTTAACTAACAGACCATTGCTTTACCTATTTTATTGATTTAAACATTATTTTTCTTTTTTTTTCCAGAAAAAAATGTTATATATACACTGTATTATTCAGTCTTTGTTTTCTGTTAAGTAATTCCATGCTGTATATGGGTAATTCACTAAAAATTCATATAACTAGTAAAGAAAAAAATCATCAAAGTCAGAAAAGATTGTAGTTTACATGAAATAAACTGCTGTAGTTTACTTGAAATAAACTGCTGTAGTTTACTTGAAATGAACTGCTGCAGTTTACTTGAAATAAACTGCTGTAGTTTACTTGAAATGAACTGCTGCAGTTTACTTGAAATAAACTGCTGTAGTTTACTTGAAATAAACTGCTGTAGTTTACTTGAAGTAAACTGTTGCAGTTTACTTGAAATAAACTGCTGTAGTTTACTTGAAATGAACTGCTGCAGTTTACTTGAAATAAACTGCTGCAGTTTACTTGAAATAAGCTGCTGAAGTTTACTTGAAATAAACTGCTGTAGTTTACTTGAAATGAACTGCTGCAGTTTACTTGAAATAAGCTGCTGCAGTTTACTCGAAATAAACTGCTGTAGTTTACTTGAAATAAACAGTTGCAGTTTACTTGAAATGAACTGCAGTAGTTTACTTGAAATAAACTGCTGTAATTTACTTGAAATAAACTGCTGTTTACTTGAAATAAACTACTATTTACTTGAAATGAACTGCAGTAGTACACTTGAAATAAACTTCTGTTACAGTAGTTTACTTTAGATTAACTGCTGTAAATTTATTTTTATTTTTTTTTTTTTGTTGAGTTATTATTATTTTTGTAGATGTTGACTCCAGTATGCTGTGAATCAAGGGAGAGAACTCAAAACCGGCAGCAATATTATCCAAAAAGTCATGTTGTTCTTAGTGGCATTTGCAGACATTTTATTTAGTGTTTGACATTCTGATCAAAGAATTGTACAATTTATTGATAAAGCATCAAACTAGGTTTTATAGTTACCATAAAGAGAAGTGCTAAATTTGGAATCATTTAGCTCAGATTTTGTTTGTTGTTTTTCTTTCTGGCAGACTTTATTGAGGTGCTAAATGTGCAGTTGTGTTTGCCAAGGAAAATTATCAAGCTATGAAAAAGTTTTTTACTAATCATTCTTTGTTATTTTTGTCATACATACATGTTCATTTAGTGACCTTGATTTCTGAAAGAAACTGATAATTATTATTCAGTATGTGGATGGTATTTAGTTTTATTGTTCTCATTTACTATATATTAATTATATAAGTCTTATTTGGGCAATATTGTACAGTAAATGTTTTATGTTTTAGTAGCTGTTATGTTATTAAAGACTGTGAATGTATTTCTGTGTTAGGTTTCTCTTTCATGCCTGCCAATGATTTTTTTACCTCAGTTTTTAGCTCACCTTAGCTGAAAGCTCAAGTGAGATTTTCTGATCAAAATTTGTCCATTGTCCTTTTTGTTGTCATCGTTGTCGTAAATGCTTTACAATTTCATCTTCTTCTGTAGAACTACTGGGCCAATTTCAACCAAACTTAGCACAGAATATCCTCGGGTGAATGGGATATAAGTTTTGTTCAAATAAATGGCCACACCCTCTTCCAAGGGACCAGAAAATATGAACCTTATTTGAAAGCTTTCTGACAGTGTAGATTCAAATTTGTTCAAATCATAACCCCCCCCCCCCCCCCCCCCCCCAGGAGTAGGATGGGGCCACTATGGGCAATCAAAGAATTACTTGGGTATATATAGGAAAAATCTTTAAAAATCTTCTCAAGAACAGCAAAGCCATGATCAGTCATAATTATATTAAAGCTTCCTCAGGTAATGTATATTCAATTTTAAACAAATCATGAACCCCAGGGGTAGGATGTGGCCACTATGGGTGATCAAAGTTTTACAATTACTCGATGGGGCCAAGAAAAAAGCTTTGAGATATCTTAGGATTTGAGATATTGAGGGTAAAATACTTAAAGAAAAAGTGGTTGGAACTTCCAAATAACTTTTACATATCCATGGTATTCGAACCGTTCACTGTAGCTCAGTCGGTAGAGCGCTCGCTCCGTGATCGGGAGGTCGCGAGTTCGAATCTCAGCCATGACTGACCTAAGTTGATAAAAAATGGGTAGCAACTGTTCCTTCACCATGCGCTCAGCACTTTGAAGTGAAAGTTGCGGGTCCTTCGGATGAGACCTTAAAAACGGAGGCCCGTGTCACGGCAGGCATTGGCACGATAAAGATCCCTCACTTCTCAATGGTCGTGAGTGCCGAGTAAAGGTCAAAATTTGAAGCCCTTCACCAGTATATGGTGACGTCTCTATATGAGTGAAAAATTCTCGAATGGGACGTAAAACAACATACAATCAATCAATCCATGGTGTTCAAGATATCCGTGTTCGAGATACCAAAGTTCAACTGTGCTTTGGAATTGATATCATCATTCTTCATAGATGAGCAATGTTCTTGGATTTTGTGGGTTACCATTACCCACAAATTTTCATTCCCACAAACAGTAAATTTGTCAGCATTTTGATTCATTGAAGTCTGTAAATATGAGTAACCCACATCATTCCATATTCACAAACCAGTAAAATTTTAGTTGCCCACAAACACTTACCCCCATAAATAAAAATTATTCCATGGTACAGGTACTTTCAAATTATAGAACAAATGTGGTAGAGTGTGGTACACGGTTTCCTACTAGCTTGGGTTAGTGGGTTAACCCTTTAGCTCAATTGGTAGAGCACTGGACTGGCAAGCCAGAGGCCCCAGGTTCAATCCCCAGCAGAGGCCCATAAATGTTTCTGTTACATTTGGCGCCCACGTTGGGACCCGGGTATTTTCTGGTGGGTGAGAGTGATTGACCCCAGAACTTTGCCCCACAGGCATTGGCATTCCAAAAGAGATGAGGACATCTCTTCTCTAGAGGGGGACAATGTGGTAGAGTGTGGTGCACGGCTTCCTACTAGCTTGGGCTAGTGGGTTAACCCTTTAGCTCAATTGGTAGAGCACTGGACTGGCAAGCCAGAGGCCCCGGGTTTAATCCCCAGCAGAAGCACATAAATGTCTCTGTTACACAAGTACAAAAATCTGAAAGAATTTTATGCAGATAAAATTCTCAAGACAGTATTTGACAAGTTATGTACAATCTGAGAAGAACGTGTTGAATTTTTTTTAGATTAGAGAGAAGGAATGACTTTCTGGGTGAAAGTTAGACATGTATACCTCTGGGCATCTTAGATTTAGAAATTTTATTACCCTCTTTGTGAAGGAACACAATTATGTGATAATTTATATTGCATAAGTTTGTCAGTTTTTAGCTCTTCTAAGCCAAATTCTCAAGTCAGCTTTTCTTATAAAGTGTTTCTGAAGTCCATCTTCTGTCTGTCCACCTTTTTCTTCTTTTATTTACAGAACAATATCTCAAAAAGTCCTAATAAAAGCTTTTGCAAAGAAAATCTAAACCATAACTCCCTATGACCTAAGAAGACCCCTATTGATTCTGAGGTTGAAGGTCAAGGTCAACATTTTATTTATTGTAATACTGTATACAGGGAAATTTTTGCCTCCGTTTTATTTTCATCCCTCACAGGTGGACAAATTTAAATCGGGACGAATTCAAAGAACACAGTATAATTTCTTAAACAAAAATATGATTGGCAAATTTAAAATGGGGCAAAATTGTTTGCAAGTATGAAAGGGCGAAAATAACATGGGGCAAAAATAACCCAGTAAATGTTTTCCAGATAATAGCTAGCTCTCTTTGAGCTTTTGCAATGAGATTTTAAATCACAAATCCCTTAGGCCTATGGCTCAAAGAAGACCTCTTTTCATTTTGAGGTCATAAAGTCAATGGTCACAGTCAGAAATTCATATATTGTTTCAGTTAGTGTTCAGATAACTTAAGTTCAGCAATGAAACTGAAGGTGGTAACCTCTCTAACTGAGAAAGACCTCTTGGTGATTTTAAGGTCAAAAGGTAAAAAGTCAAGGTCAATCCTTTTCTTTCTCCATCTGAATTTTAGGTGTTTCACCCTTTTGTTATTAAAATGTTTTGGGGGGGGGGTTTTCAGAGCAATTGGAACAATTTCAACTATACTTCGCACAGAGCATTCTTGGATGGAGGGATTCAATTTTTGTTCAAATAAAGGGCCTGCAAAAGGGGAGATAATCAAGAAAATAGAAGACTAGTGTGGGTATCCTAAAAAATCTTTTCAAGAATTATTGACTCAGAACCTGGAAGGATGAAACTTGTATGAAAGCTTCCTGACAAAATGAAGTTCAATTTTGTTTAAATCATTGCCTCAGGGGATAGTCTTGGGACACAAGAGGAGTTCAAAGTTATACATGGGAATATGTTGATAAAAAAATCTAGAAAAAATTTATTCTCAAGAAGAGCACTGGCCATAATTAGTCATATTAATATCTGTATATCCTCACTGCCCCAGGGGCCAATAGGAGATCAAGTTTTATAGGGAAATATACTATAGATCACCAAATATTATTTATTAGCAGCAGGAGAAAATTTCACAAGGTAATTGTTGTATATAACCTTTTATGATATGAATAAATACAAATAATTGAGAATGAATTTTTCACAACAAATCATCATAGATAATTATATACATTGTACACAAAATAAAAGTTCTTGCAAGTAAAATGTGGGTACAGGGAAAAAAATTTAAAAACCAACAGGGCCATAATTAGTCATATTTATATGCAAGTATCCTCAGGTATAGTGAAGATCCTAGTATGTACAAATCAGGTTCCTAGGGATGGGGTGGGGACATAATAGGGGATCAAAGTTTTACATGTGAATGTATTGTATAGGAAATTGTAAAAAAGTTTTTTCAAGAGGTGCAGAGCTGACTAAATGTTATCAATTTACTAATGTTTATGAATTATGTTGATTCAAATTTGTTTTCAAATTATGAACAAATCAAGTTAGAGTGGGCCTAAAATTGGAGATTAAATTTACATAATGCATATACGCGTACTTATATACATGAATAGGGAAAAAATCTTTAGATATTCATCTCCTGAGAACATCAAGGCAATGTAATTGTTAGAGAAGCATTGCAGTGTTGCTTGGATTCAACTTCAGTTAAGCCATAGTTCCTTGGGGCTAGGAAGGGGCCAATAAAGGGTAGTACATATGTATATGCACCTTTGTCCCAGTTTTATTGACTAGGAAAATAACTGCAGGAAGAATAGGATTTTAAAAAATTTTCATTTTTACTAACACTGTAAACCTTAGGCTGCCAAAAAATTCATCTTTCATTTGTCAGACGCAGCCTAATTTACATTTATCAATATTTTAATCACAAATTAAAAAGGGGAATAACTCAGATTTTCTATTGTATAAGCTATAAAAAAATGAGTTATTCAATAAAAATAACTTTTTATGCCCCTGTATCAAAGATTCGGGGTATATAGTTTTTGCCCTGTCCATCCGTCTGTCTGTCTGTTTGTCCGCAAAAACTTTAACATTGCCCATAACTTTTGATTGGTTGGAGCTATGGCTTTCCTATTTCATATGTGTATTCCTTGTGACAAGACCTTTCTTTGGGTACCACCATATTTGACTTTTTGACCTTGACCTTGGAGTTTGACCCAGTTTTGCAAAATTTTACCCAACTTTAACCTTGGCAATAACTTTTGAACAATTGGTGGTAAGGCTTTGATAATTCGCATGTGTAATCCTTGTGACAAGACCTTTCTTTGGATACCAACAACTTTGACTCTTTGACCTTGACCTCGGAGTTTGATCTACTTTTGAAAAACTTTAACCTTGGCCATAACTATTGAACTGTTGGTGCTAGGGCTTTCATGCTTCACATATGTAATTCTTGTGACAAGACCTTTCTTTGGATACCAACAACTTGGACCCTTTGACCTTGGAGTTTGACCTTCTTTTGAAAAACTTTAACCTTGGCCATAACTTTTGAAACGTTGGTGCTAAGGCTTTCATACTTCACATATGTAATCCTTGTAACAAGAACTTCCTTTGGATACCAACAACTTTGACCCTTTGACCTTGACCTTGGAGTTTGACCTACTTTTGAAAAACTTTAACCTTGGCCATAACTTTTGATCCGTTGGTGCTAAGGCTTTCATACTTCACATATGTAATCCTTGTAACAAGACCTTCCTTTGGATACCAACAACTTTGACCTTGGAGTTTGGCCTACTTTTGGAAACCTTTAACCTTGGCCATAACTTTTGAACCGTTGGTGCTAGGGCTTTCATAATTGACTTATGTAATCCTTGTAACAAGACCTTCCTTTGGATACCAACAATTGTAATCC